TTGGCTCATGAGGCGGGGAGGTTTTGGGACCATTCCAGGCTTTTCTGAAGCGGCTTTTTCCACTGTCAGGAGGGGTCTGGCGCCGAGTCAGCTGCTGCTTCCTGGTTCTCACCCTTCCCTTGCAGGCAGACGGATGACCTGCCTTAAGGGAGCAACCTTTCTTGGAAGGTGAAATCAAGCACATAAATTAAATGCTGACCATAAACATTAGCCGCCTACGTACCTATGAGCATATTAATCCTATGTTAGCACTCCCTGGTGCGGTGTTCATTGATGAGTTAATTAGTATTTGTGCAGTGCTTTGAAGATGACAGCGATATGTCCATTTCTGTTATCATTATAGATTAGTATATTACACCAAGCCAGAAACATTACTGAGGTAATTTATCCATATCCTGGCGAGAAAGGTGTGGGTTTATTAGGAGAGCTCAGTGAGGCACAGAACGCATCTATTACAGTTCAGAAGAGGGAAAATTTGATAACCAAGTGGGAGTCTTGTTAGACACATCTTGCCCTGCGCTGAGGAGGAATGAAGATATTAATTTACCTGTCTCCCTCTGTTTGTGGGTTGTAACGTCAACTAACTTTTCCTCCTCCCCCATTTCTTCTCTGGAAGATGCCTCTCATTTTATTCTGTGAGTACTTGAGTGCCATCAATTTTATCTTGCCTGAATATCCCTACAAAAGGATAAAGGAAGACACAGTTTAAGGAGCTGGGTCCAGTCCGGGCTGCTCAGGAAAGGAACAAGTACCTTACCTGTTTCTGCACAACATGATCAAGGGGAGCTTGATCCTCACCCCTTGGCATTCACCAAGGCTGGGGGAATTCTACCTAGAGGTGTGAGTTTCCTGTTCTTTCCTCACCTTTGCTCTTCATGTCTCTGATCTCTTCTGGCCACTCCATTTAGTCTTTACCGTGAAAATTGTTTTTCCCCAGTGCCATGCTTAACTTGGTCTGAGTTCATGTTTTGCGTAATTAGATGTGAGGGAAAATGTGATTTGATAATAATCACAGGCATGCTTTTTCATCATGGTATGTGCATATCCATTAACTTCTGAAGAAGCTCCCTTGGGCCTAAAATAACACTCATTGCACACATGTGAAATTAAAAGGCTAAGTTGTGAAATAAAAGTCTGTGTCTAGAAATCTTTATGGCCCTGACCTTATCAATAGTTCTGTTCGGAGAGATATTGCACTTACGTGGACCGTCAGTGACTTCTGGGCTGTCCGCACCATCAAGGAGGGTTTGGGAGGGCAGCTTGTGCCATGGGAGGAACCAGGAGGGTGGCTGACCTTGCAGTCAAGGTCTATTAATTGCCTCTTTCAAAGCAGTACATTCCGGTTGGGCTCTCAGTGTTTGCTGTAACTCTGGGCTGCTCAATTTCTCAGCTGCAGGGGAGTGATTTGTTCCTTAAAGGCCTTCAAAATCATTCCTTTCTCTTCATTAATCAAGGACTTAATCAGTTTAGAGGGATCTAAGTGGACTTTAAGCCCGAGGTTTTTAAGTTCCGTAGAAATTTTCCACTCTAACATATGATAACATGCAGATTCACTCAAGTTAATGGCCTGGTACTTTGCTTGGGAGATCATTTTCTGATTGATCTTATTGCAGGTACCATTATCTATGGACAGTTAGTATCTGATGGGATCCCTTCGTTCCTGCTCGGCAAAGAGATGAAGCCTCCTGGGGCGGCTGCATTCCACAAACAGCTCTGGGTTGCTGGGAATCCCTGTGGGGCCCAATTTTTAGCTTGGTTGTTTTTCAGAGAATGTTTTTCAGTCATTTTACATGGCTTTGATGATAGAATAAAAGTGATGAAAAAAAATACCTGAGCTACTTCACGCTGTTCTTTTTCGTCATGTTATGATATTTGAAACGTACCGATTTGGTTGATTTTAGCTGTCAGGAAGAGAAATTTCCCATGGATGCTTTAGACTTGAGAATACTTGTACTTTACTTTGCTGGAATTTTTAGGCAACAATAATAAATAGTCTTTGCATGTGAACTTGTATCAAGAGAAACAGAGATATTAATCCCTTAGGGGAAATCATAACTGTTTTGCTTTCTAGATGAATTTCAATTAATTTCATATGGTCTCACATTGATTTTTATCTTTTTGTTTGCTCTCTTCTGTTTTATTCTTTGCTTTACACCAAAGTTTACACTTTGCTTTCCCCAAAGTTTCACTTACCTTTTTCTCTTGTCTCTAGTGGGATATTCAGTACTTCTCACTCTCTCAGCCTGTCTTGATTCTGTATCTTAGGAATCTCCTCCATCTTCTCTCAGGCTGCAGGTTTCTAGCATGATGCGCCTTGCAGTCTTCTGGAGGCTTTCCCCAATTCTTGTCATTCTCTCCCCTCTATTTTCTTCCCCAGTCTGTCCCTTTCAGTGGCTTACAGGACTTTTTTTCCCAGTTAGCAGTCTCTGCAAAAGCCAGTTGGCTGTGGCTAAAGAAAATTAGCTCATTTCAGGCATTGCTTATCTCTGCCTTGATTTCCAGCAGTGCCCTATGCCAAATATGTTGTGTATTTATAGAGGTTACCTTTTTCTCCAGCAGTAAGTCGATAGCTGTAGGAAGAAGAAGGAGCTCAGCAAACGTGCAGGTGATTTTCTTAACTACCCCAGGTTGTCTGCTCCATGCAAATATGTTATGCCTGTATGCTCTCTCCCTCTCTGAAAGGCTGTATAGCAAAGGTTAGAGGTGAGGTAATAGGACTTAAATCCAGATGTGTAATTTTCTGTCTGAGAAAGGAATGCAAAGCTAGCGGGTATGTTGCTTGATGATAAGTTGAGCTCATCTTTTGTTCTTCCTTGGTTATATGTTAGGAAGCAAGGGAATAATTCTCTGTCAGGCGGGAGCTAGCGAACTGGGAAATGCCGCTTTCAGAATTTAAAAATGGTAAATACATGGGGGAGGACTTCTGGAACAACTGGCATTAGAATAGTGGGCTGCATTTCTGTAGAAGTGCAGGAAAAAGATTGTTTGCTCTCGTTGTTCTCTTAAGTTGTCACTTCATTTCTTCTGTCAGGGTAATCATAAAAATAGACCTTTCTGAAATCATAAATGGCAGCTATAGATCATTGCAAGGTGGTAACATATGGGCATCTAACTGATAACTGATTTGCTCTTACAAAATCTCCATCTTAGGGGACAGGTTGTCAGAAGCCTGGATTCAGAGATACGCATTTCTTGTGTTTGCAAATGGTTAATGTGCGAACACGCTTCCCAGTCGGCTGTCGCTCTGAATTGCCATTTATGGCCCTGGAAATGTTCTCCTAGTGAGCCAAGAAGTATGAAGTTGTAGAGATCCTTCAAAATGTTGATATACAAGACTTTGGTTGCCCTTGCGGTCCGCTGGCCTGCATGCAGAGGGCTGTTGTCTCTGTCTTTTTTTTCTAGTCTCATTCAAATGAACTAGGTCTATATCTTCCTTTTTCTGACACCAGTTCCTGATTCCCATTTCTCTAAAAGTCTCACTATGGTTCTCAGAAGCAAATGAGGGCAGTTAGCCTGATATTAGTTTGCAAATTACCTTTAAGAACAAATTAAGATTAATTTCCACTTGAATTCTGTGTCCTTGCTTCTACTTGTGCATAGAGGTTAGTAACTTTTTAATCACTATTCAAAGGTTTGTCTGTCCAATACTGCTTATTGATCCTGTTTTTTTTTATTTTTGCACCATACTTTTTCCTTCCTTTTTAAATTCTCTTCCTCTGTCTTTTCCTCCTTCTATTTTTCACTGCTCTGCTCAGTTTCCTGGGCTTCATGGACCTGAATTCAGTCTCCATGAAGTCGGCTTTCCCCAGTCACGGTCCCGGCGGAGGGAAGGCTGCACTGTGCTGCTCCAGGGCTGCTCTGCTCCACCGACACCGAGCATCGATCTGGCATCGCCGCCGTTCTGGCGGGACTTGAGCTGGCAGCTCAGCATAGCGTTGTGCCGGGCCACGTAGGCAGATGAAGTTAATTTGAAGTGTGAGCTGTGTCTCCTGTGTTGTGCGTATAGACGTTTGTTGCGGTAAGCTGTTCTTTGAGATCCAGGGGCGGATACAGATTCAATTGAAGGGGGGCGAGTAGAGGTTTAAATTCTACTGTTGATGTCATGTTATGTGGTGGGGCAATCCCGCACGGTGGAGTTACAAATGGATTGAAGCGCATGATCCCCAGCGCTGCAACACCTCCTTTCCAGGTCTCTGCATTTCTTCTCTGTGGGACTTCGAGACAAGCTGTGTGTAGCTTCCAAGGGCTGAAGTGGACACTAAGGAGTTATCTCATAAAGGGGCTCTGCAAAAGGTCCAGTGTAGTGGATAAAATCCTTTCTTTTTAAATAACACCACCTGCCATACAGTTATTTTGAAATGTTCAATATCATTTACCTTTTTCTAGTGCAAGCATCCATGCAGAACGATACTGTTAATATGCAGAAGAAAAATCTCAGTGCGTGGACAGCATAATGTAAAGGTTGGGTTTTGCTTTGATTAATAAAGCAACCGATTGGTTGGTTTGGAGTCAACTAAAGCTTTTTTAATTTCCTCTCTTTCTAGGTGGTTATTGTTATTCTTAAATTTCTTTGGTTTTTAAAACAGAAAAAAAGGGTAAAATGATTTTTTTTGGCTGTGCATTCTAAAAATACAGAATATTTTGCAAGAAAAGATAAATAGGTTTGATAGTAGAATTCTGAATTTCTGTTGGCTTCAGGAGATGCTGCCTTGACCACTAAGATAATAAGAGCTAATCTTTAGTAGGTCTAGCATCATACATAAAGGAGATAAGAACAGAAAAAAATACACCTTGGAGATGGGTTTTGTCAGTGATGCTGAAGAGAAGCGGGCCAGAGCCTGATGCAAAGACCTAAAGCCTGGCGTTATAGGTGGCTCACGTTGATGCAGTTGACAGCGATGCCTCTGTTTGTTGTGGAGACAGCTAGACCAGGTCAACCCTCCTCACTTCTAGGTGTTTTTGTTCCTGTTGAATGAAGCAAAACGAAAACGTAGAGATCTTTAAGGGATTGGAAGTACAGTCTCTGCAAGTCTCAGGGGATGTTTGCGCAGCGTGGCGGAGGCGCGGGTGCCCGGTGAGCACAACCTCGGCCGGTCGCGGTTATCTAGCCCAGGCTCAGCCTGCGCTTGCTGCTGGGACCCGCTTTGGGGATTTTTTAATAGCCAGTGCTCACTGCCGGTGACTGAATTGCTGTTTTGCCGGTGACTGAATCGCTGCTTTGCCATCGCCAGCTGTGCTGCCTTTCTCTGAGAGCTCTGGCAGCGCTTTTGCTGTCCGAGCAGGCTGATGGGCAGCATGATGCTGGTTTCCCCGTACCGGTCTGGGGAGGAGATTTATTTTTTTTTGTTACAGAAGGAATTAAAGCCTCTTTCTTTGTTTTCCTGACTCTTTGGGAAGGTGAATTCTGATGAGTCTGGCGTAAATCCTCCCCCAACATGCCAGATCAGTGACAGTCCTCGCTGCATTGGTAGGAAATACCTCTCTTCTACCTTGCCCCTAGGTACCTCTGTGGAGGATGCTAGTACAGCCTGTGAGCTGGCACCGTGTCTTTAACAGAGGTAACTTTTACAGTAGAAGCCTGTCAAATTTAATTTAAGGATTTTATAGCTAATAACTCCCTGTGTAAGTGTGCCTTTTCACAGGAATTAAATGGTTTGGACTCTTGTGACATGGAGTGAGTGAAGCCAGTGATTTTAATAAAATATTTTTTATTAAGTTCTCAGTTCTCTCAGAAAAAACCCAACAAACTGTATTCTTTCTTATCTCATTAGTAAGGGAAGGAGTAAGATATGGTCTTGTGTTCTCAGATGATTTGTAAAAACAAAACTAGAAACAGTCCATGGAGATTTAATTCTCTATGTTTTTACTAGAAGCACAGGGTACTTTGTGACAGTGTCATGTTCTCACTGTCTAAAGTCAAATTCAATCATGGTACAAGTTTGTGGTGTGTATTAGGCATGTCTCTATTTTAAGTACATTTTCAGATTAAAGTTATAAGAAAGTCTTTAAAATTTGGTTTTTCAAACCACAGTGTGACTATTTTTCAGGATAGCATGTTTATTCCGCTCAATCATCATACTATTTTTGGTACAAAGTATAACACCTCAAGCTCATCTTTTAAATCCCAAGCTCAACAAAAATGTTGTTTTGTTGGGGTTTTTTTTAAAGTATTTTTATTCTCTGCTAGTTACACACTTCTGTTTTTCCAGTTAGAGTGCTCACTGAGAAGGAGGGTTAATGGAGGCATGCACCACTGAGTACAGGAGATGGATTGATTTTTGAAAGCAAGTGAAAATGCCTAAAATACTTCAGGTTTTTTTCTGATTTCCTGGTCTCTTTAATCCTGAGAGAGAAGGAAAACAATGAAATTAAAACCAGCCTTACAAAGAGCTCTCGTGCAGTAGTGATGGGGTTTCTGTTTTGTCTCTTTCCCAGTGATGATAAGAAATGAGTTCTAAGATACAGAAAGAATGAGATTTGTGGCTTTTTCCCAAGTAAAAGCATTAGTGAGCTTCAAGTATAAAATGGGGAGAAAAGCAGTGAGTTAAAAATTGTGGAAGCTTGTTGCACTGGTAGAAGAAGCTGTTATAATCTTCCTGCTATCTGAATCACATAGTGAGCACATACTGTATTGCATGCTTGGTTTCTTTTAAACAGAATAGGACATGTTATTAACTCTATCTGTTGGAAAGGCCATGATATTAGTATGTTTGTATTTTCCTGTAGAACAAAAGGTCCTGCAATGTGTAGTGTTCCCTTTGTACAGTATTGCACAGTTTGTTAATACACATTTCTTCCTCTGAAATTCCATGTAACTTTGTGTAGCTTTGACGCGACAGACTCGAAGCTGTGTTGATACGATAAAGCTGCAGTAAGAGATCTGATCTGGCAGTCATCTGCCTGCTTTAATTACAAATTTGTTTAAAATTTGATCTTTTGCTCCGGTCTGACAGAAGCTAAACTGATATAAACCAATTCCAACCTGACAGGAGTGTGACTGCACAGAGAGATACACTGATTTAACTAACACACTCTTGGCCATAATGGCTGAGGGGAGGTGGGGGGCGGGGAAAAGCCTTCTTATTATTTCTCCTTGCTTTTTCTTGCTGGTGGACTGCCATGGCTCCAGAGGCATGTCCGGGAGCACACAGGGCAGCGGGTTCATGGGGTACGTGGGCAGATGGGGATTCCCCAGCTGTTGGGGCCGCATCGGTTGGCTGGGATTGACAGGGTGCTGGGGCTGCTCAGGCAGGTTTGGCTGTTCACCCGCCTGCGGTTGTGCTGTTTGAGCTGGCATTGGCAGGCTTGGTTGGTACTGGTGAAACTGGATACAGCCGGGGGATTTGCATCAGCGGGTGTTGGAGTGCCATAAAGTGCGTGTTGGAGAGGTGGTCGGCTCTGCACTTGTGGGTGGTGCTGGACTGCCACTGGTAATGGTGGTGGTTGATGTAGCCAGCTCCCATTGAATCAGTCATAGGATGGAGGCGCAGGTGGAGAAAGGCACCCACTTTACTGTGTTCACACTGTTATTTAACATGTATTTAACAGTGGCACATAGAGGCTCTCAGGGATGGCTCCTGTTATGCTGTCCAGACCATACAATAAAAGCTCTTGCACCAAAGTTTGTCTTTCCTGTCATTGGACGGTCTGCATCTTTTCAAAACACATAAGAACACTATTATATTCTCCAAAATAGGGAGCATATTCTTTTATTATATGCCCCCTTCCCCAAGTGGGAGGATAACATAATAGAAGCATAACAGAAGAAACGTGCAAAATACTTATGTGTGATGTTTAAGGGAAAAGTGTCTCTAGACCACAATACAGCACCATATCTGTCCATGCAGAGTATTGCCTCATGTATTGTCCTCCTTCGTGTTTGAATTCCAGCTATGGAACATGCAAGGAAGAGTTTCTATTGCTTCCTCCTAACTTACGTCTCCATGGAGGGTACTTGAGTGCTTCACTTTCCAGATGCCTTGACGCAGCAGTTCTAAATGCTTGGCATTTGAGTGTTCTTGTAACAAATCTAAGTGCTAGTGCAGGAGTAATATGCCTCTACATACATGTTCATAGGCAGTCAATGTCGATGCCAGTCTTTCAGTGATGGAGATTTTGAGGCTTGTGTGTACAGAGAAAAGCAGAAAATTGAAATGTGACGCCTGGGGTCTCATCAAGCTCTGGTACCATTTTAAAGATGTTAATACCTTCCAAAGAAGATATTCCTTCCTCTAAGGAAAAGGAGACCATCGTAATCCGTAGGTATGTCAGTTTAGTTTAGCGTATTTCCTTGCCTAAGAACAGATGGTGAAGCCAAGCATTGCATTGATCGTGCTGTTATACTCTGAGTCAGTGGTAATACCTATGATGGCATCGTTTTCTAGAGAAGGTTTTCAATATTCTTTGTGTGCTGAACAGCATGCAGCAATACAAGACGACAGAACACTTTGGGAAGAATAATTCTATAGAAAAAAATGGTCAAACTTTGTGTGCCAAAAACATAAAAAGTTTGATTAATTTGCGGCAAATCAAAGATTCGTATCTTAAAACCACAGGGTCTACTGGGATGTCTTTCAGGTGAGCCAAGAGTCCAGAAGCCCTGAAGGTTCTGGTCTAGAGTTGCCTATGTAGAGATACTGGCCCAAAGTCACAAATTTTGAGAAATTCTGTGTTTGTGAAGTGAAAGTAAGGCAGATGGAGGCATTTTGTTAAATGGTTTTTTCCATCTTTTTCCCTAGCTCAGAACCTCCTGCTGTAACACATTTTGGAAGTTTTGCTGTGGACCTGATGTGAGCTGAAACTAAATTTTAAAAACATTACCATTTAATGAGAATGAAAACCTCTGTGTTTCCAGTTCTGTTCCAACTTTGCTGCCGCAGTCCACGAGGTTAAAACTTAAAGCCATCTGGTCTTAGAGAAATGGGGAATATTTTTGGACTAGCAAAAACACTAAAGCAGGAAAAAAAGCAGATATCATAGTTTCCAAAATCTGTGATTCTCTTTTCCTAGTGTAATGATCAAGTTTTCTGTTACGCAGATAACCTTTTCCAAATATTCAACACTTCTCAACTTTCTGACTTGGTACAGGCAAAAAGTACTACCTAAAACTGGACAAGATTTTTTTTGTTTTCTGTTTTTTTCTTCCTTCATTTAAAGGATATCATGGGCTTTTATGACTGTGGAGTTGCCTGAATACAAATGCATGAACATCTCCCATTTTTAGGCAAATTCCTTTGTCGTACAATACCGCAAAACCACAATTTCATTTACTGCGTGAAATTCCATGTTCGAAACAAATTTCTGGACTGATAAACCAAGACTGGCACTTGAAGGTATTCCATATAGTTGATGTAGTTTCATCTTCTGAACTTGCTTTGAAATGAATCTTCTCTGTCTGAAGACCCAGTGGGTCAGGTTCAATTTGCAGTGCTCTGGTTTTACATAATTGGGAGCTGGTTAAAACTGATGAAGCTCAGTAATGAATAACTCTTCCTGCTACCAGGTGTGTTAAAGTGAATTCGTTTGTCAAAAAGATGAAATATTTTATGTATTAGCTCAAGTTGATAAAACCAGGATGTGTTTGCTGAGGGGGAACTAGAAAAGAAAACTGTAAGATGTATTTTGTTTGCCTTGCTGTTACAAAGTAAAATTACTCTGTAGTAACATAGCGCTTGCCCTGGGTCTTGCTGACAATCTTTGAGTTCACGTAACGAATATAGCGGTGACAGATTTGTCTCGCTGAGTTAGTGGTAAGCCATTATGGGTAGGATTTTTCAGGCATGAGCTTTCTCATCTACCAGTTAAACATATAAGGCAATTGTCTCGTACCTCACTGCAGTCGACAGAAAGAGCGAGCACCTCTTTAGGTCAAAGCATTCCCTTCTAGGATGCTGGGATGGGTGGGATGAGTTGCTAAATAGCTCAAGTTTGGCTGTACAAAACCCAGCCTACGTCTATGATTCAAGAGAATAGTTGCACACAATAGATAGCAAAACTTCTTAAACTAAGCATGTACTTAAATATTTTGCTGACTGGCAGATTTGTGTTCTGTCTGAAGTCATTAGGAGCTTATTTTTACATGAAGCATTAGCAGTCAAAACAGTGTTACTATCTCTACTTCATTCCTATGGAAAGATTAATAAGATTGGAGGAGTTTGGAAAAGAAATCCTGCCCTTTGGCCCGGAGCGGCTGCCAACTCCAGCACATCGTGCCGTGGCACACCAAATGCTATTCCAGTCTCAGGAGGGCGAGTTTTCCTCTACAATGCTAATCTCTTTTCTTTGCTATTCGTGAAGGCAGGATAATCTTCAGAAAGCAGTAATGGCACAGAGCTGTCAAATGCCGTGTGTTAACTCTGAGGCCAAGATGGGCGACTCTTTGCTAACGCTCAGTGGCATAGCATATGTTACACCTAGGAGGCAAGCGGTCAAGATTCAGACCCCCGTCTTTCTCAAATTATAGTGTCTGTAACAAGATGAAAAAATACTGCTTTGGCTATCATTATATCAGAAAAAAACCCAACGCTCATATATTAGCATCTGGATCTGAATGAAAATAAACAGTCGAGGACAAATCTTCTGCAGTCTCTTTGGAAAGTTGGATTATTCGTTATTAAGTATTTGGTGGGAACAGCAAATTGGTGATAAAATTCCTTTTGGATTTTGGAATTTATCTTGAGACAGAACGCAAATGTTTGAACTTTTTTTGGTTTTGGTCTCCATTGTTTCTGCAATCTCTGAGGGCAGTTCCCTTTAATTTTGAAGCCCAGTTCATGAGTACCAAGAGCAAAAGGACTAAATGTCATTTAAAAGTAATGTAGCAATACTTGCCAACAGCGCAGCTTTAGTAGATTCTGAGAAAGGAATGTGGGAGCAGTCATAGCCTTAAAAAAACAACAATAGGTTTTAGCAACTGGAGAATCTGCAAAAATATTTGAGCTGTGAATGATCCTTTTTTGCTGTGTTGAGTTTTTGCTCTCATGACTCTTGGGGGCTGGGTTTTTGGGTTTTTTTTCTGAGAAACCTTACAGGAGACTTACAAGAAAAAAAATTGATAAAAATACTTACTTAAAAGCTGCCTTGAAGACCACTCCCTCGTTAGAGTTATGAGTTTCTTTTCTGCTTTTCCTGGCCGTTTTATCTATCTTAATGTAATTCTGTTCATGGACTATAGAATTTTGTGCCAAATTTATAATTCACATATCATTTATTATTATAATGGTGTGGTACGTTTGCCTTGCTAAAAGCATTATCTGAAGCGACTTCTCTGCAAAAGTGTGCGTCAAAGTTAAGGAGGTCACGCTTTCAAAGTGCTGCCGTGAGCGGAGCTAAGAAACTGGGAGGGGCTGATATTTCCATTGCAGGAACCCGTCTATTCTCATTGCATTCAGAAATAAATAGATTTTCAGTGAAAAGACTTCTCAGACTCAAAATCGAGTATTGGAAGAGGAGGATTAATATCTATTTGCACACAGTTTTAAGCAATTGCAGGACTGTCACCCATGCCTTACCCAACGAGTGGGCACCAAGATCTCCATACAGGGAACATCCTTGCTCGCCCCAGTGAAGAGGAGGAGCAGAGTGGACGGGTGAATTCCTACATTTGGATCACATTCTGAAAGGCTTTTCGTTTCCCAGCACTTAATGACTTCATGGCCCTGAGGTCTTCCATCATTCATGTCATCACAGTTGGGAGTTAAAGAAAAGTAAGGTATTTTGCTTTTCTTACAGTCAGCCAATTTAGGCCATAACCTATGTTAATAGTACTGTGTCAGGTCATGAAAACAAGCTTAAGTTAACTGTGTGGTTTGATAATACTCAGAAATAATTTCAGAAAGCAAAATTGTATGACTAAAATTTCAATTTCGATGTATAAAGCTCTTGGCTTCTGAAGTATTTAGGTATGCATTTTGCCAGCCAGACATGGTGCTTCTGTTGTCCTGGTGTGAAGCTTCAGGACAAAAGAATCCAAGGTTTTCATGGTGATAGAAATTAGGTTAATGCACTAATTTGTAAGTGATGTTTCCAATTTTTTTATCATTGACCTTATTAACGTCTCAGTAAGGAAGAATGTTGAAGAAATGCTGAGTAAGGCATAGCAGGTTATAGTTGCTTTTTTCATACCATGAAAAATAAAATGCAATAGCAGTGTAAATCAACCTAAAGATTTTCTGCGGCTTATAATTTCTATGTTCTGTGAGCATTCTTTAATTAGAAATTGATGTTAATGTTTTGCGTTACGTAGGAGAAAAAATGGAAGTAGTTTGGTTGGATAGTAGTTAGCTGAGGTAAAAGCTCGGAGTGAAAAATGCTCATCTGCGTTAACTGACAGGGAAATCACAACTGCCTTTTTTTGCTGATGCAACTGAACTCTAAAGAAAATCCTTATGCAGCCTAAACTTCCTGCTCTGTTCCACTTACACAGAGTCTGTTGGTGTTTTAAACACTGTTGATCCTCTTTTACTTCCTTGTGGAGGTAAGTGAAAATATCCCTTTTGCTCTTGCTTCCCAAGGAGTAATGGGATCACCTCCTCTATCCTGCCAAGGAGTCAGGGGAACAGCTCTTCCCTTGGAAAGGCTAAAGGAAAAAGAGTAAATAGGTAGCAACAGATCCTTCTTATGCTTCTCAAAGTTGGAAAATAAATCAGGTAGATGATAGGCCTGCTTATTTCATTTTCCTTTCAAAAGGTGAGGAAAATGTCAAACTCTTCTCTTATCCCAGGAGAACAGGAGAGAGGGGCTCTGAGAGTGGCATCTCCCCTTAGGAGCTGGGAAACTGTAGCCATCAGGCACCCCACTGTGTCAGAACAAGTCCTTCATGTTTGGTTTTTTGGTTTGTGGTGTTGGGTTGGTTTTTTTTTGTCTTCTGGTATCAGAAGAATTGTGCAGGCATGAAAATAGGAAAAAAAAAATATACTGAGCTGAAAAATCTGGTTTAAAGTGTGCCATGAGGAAAGCACTGCTACTGTTCTCTTGCAGAGCTAAGGATTGCCAGCAGTCAAATTTGTTGCAAGTTGTATACAACAGGGTGGCCAAAGGAAAGATATCCTTTGTATTTTGAGAGATTTACTGAATTGGCTGTTATTGAACAGCACAAGTCATCTCGTGCGTAACTGCTTGGACATAAAGTCTCACTGACTGTGGTGTGGGTTGGCGAGTAGGTGAAAGAAGTGCTTAGCACTGTCTGAATAATACCAGTAGCTTCATCTGTCTCTGTTAACTGGAGCGTACAACTTCCTAGGTAATTTTAGAGAGGCAGCCCCACTGTCTGCTTTATAAGAAAACAGCATCAAATGATCACAAAAGTATAAATCAGCTCTGTAGAAATAGACTTGCCTGACTTGAAATACGTTGAGTCTTCTGTCATTTGGCCTTAATCTAGGTGAAGCTCAATGCCAGTTTTAAGAGTAGTGTGACCCAGTCAGTAGGACTGAGAGTACCTTGAGAAGACTTGCCTAACAGAGGTAAATGTTAATTAATGGTATAGCACTGATATTAATGTTAGTTCTTTTTTTTGCAGTTAGTTAAAAGTTTGTTACTACAGGGTATGCACACAAGTTCACTCTTACAGAGATACTTCACATAGCTTAGACAGGAAAAATAAAACACAAAATGTAATACTACCTTTTTTGTACAAGTTTGAAGAATTGGCCTAATCAGTCAGGGGCAAGAATCTCTTTTTCATTTGCATTCCCAAGGTCAGGCAGTAGACAGCACAGGTCTAGCACAACTGTGGAAGCAGAAGGAAAACAAAGGAGATGCTTCTTTCTCTCTCCCCTTGCTTTACTCTTGAGAGAAGCTTCATGTCTTCTCTTACTTAGGACTTACTGCAGTATGTGAGTCACTTTCTTTGAGACATGTAAATGCCATGACTGCAGGTGTATCTACCCTCTGCTGCCTGCTCTGCTCTCTTTGGCCATGTCTACATGGAGAGGTTGAACCACATCAGAGAGCATCCTCTGGTGCTGGGACTCAGTCATCTGTGCTGTCAGGTTATCGCTGATGTCTCTGATGTAGCTGAGGTCTAGACCAACTCTCTGAAACAGTTCCAGAGTATAGAGTTAGCACAGGCTGGGAATTATTCATGCCACACCATTTGGACATGGCCACTTTGGAGAGGGAGGCAGTTTAATAGTGTGGATTAAGGCTGTTCCCTGCCAGCTGGGTTGCTGCCAGGGCATGAGCCTAGGCACGTGTAGTATGTGAATATGAACTTCAGCCTCTGGTTCTGGGCTTGTGGTTTTCTCCATCCTGAACTGAAATCAGCTTTCAGCCTGAGCCCTGAGCAAGAGTACCTATGGTCTTGGTCAACTGTCCTTACCAGCAGTGATAAGCCACTATATCAGGAACATTGCGGGGCTGCCGAAGCTTAGCAGATGGCTGAGCTAAGGTAGCTAACCATACGTGCACTCTTTGGCAAAATGCATTGTAAATATATTAAGTTAAAGTTACATCAGGTTCATAAGCTAGCACATGGTGTCTTTCCTTAACTGCAAATTAACAGTGCTAACACGGATAGTAATTGCACTGCTGTTGATGTGTTGTCACTTGTTCAGCTGCGTAAGCTTGGTTGCATACATGCTTCTGGACTCCAG